CACCACCACCATCATCATCATCACCATCACCATCATCACCACCACCACCACCACCACCACCACCACCACCACCATCACCACCATCACCACCATCATCACCACCATCACCACCATCATCACCACCATCACCACCATCATTACCATCATCACCATCACCACCATCACCACCATCATCACCATCACCACCATCATCACCATCATCACCATCATCATCACCATCATCATCATCATTACTCACTCTTGCAAATGCGGCTCTAAAGAACTTCTCCAGTTGTTGTTGTCTCGCCTCACGTGTGACTGCAGTCGCAAACAGTTCCCGGCTTTTCAGAAAATGTTCTTGAACATCTAAGTGCAGAGATTCTTGTGTGATAAATGATTTTAAACATCGAACGAAATTTTCACGTTCCCCAACGTCGTTGAATGTTAGAACCTAAAGACACAAAAATTACTAGAATTAGAATATGCGTATCAGAGTATTCCGCTGTTCAATAATGATTTGTGTGTGGTGTTCAGTATGAGAGCAGCCATATTTTAGGTATTTACCAAATCGTATTCACGCTGTACTCTCAAAGACAGGACATTCTGCTCTCTATCATTCTGTCGAACAACTGTGACCCAGCTCATGTGTTTGAGGTTGATTATCCGTAAGATTTGATTTCTGCTCGTGAACACTCTAACGTATGTTCCCGGACCCAGCCTCACACTGACCACGCGAGAAGTTGAGTTGTTCTCCCATTCAATCGCTGAAGTAAAGAACATAGATGTTAAACTTGATATACACTGTATAGCTTTACCCAGTTCTAAACTGTTCTCCCTAGAGGCCCAGTAAGGATTATCTCTTATTAGAGAGGTTAAGATTGCGTTTACGGCAGACCGGTAACCGCTAACTTCAAGTCATATTTTGAGATCATAATTTGTGCATTGCAATTGAAGAATGAATTGACTAAAATCCTGTCGAAACCTTCGGAAACTTGTAGAACTTATCTTCAAATGCAAATTGAAGTTTCCCGTTACCGGTTGAGTTTCCTCTCTATTGAGCTAGTGTAGCTACAGGAGGAAACCTAAACTAAGCTAACTTTATTCATCAGTACTGGATAGTTCTATCAGTTCGAAACTGTTCTTCCTAGAGGTCCAGTAAGGATCATCTCTTATTGATCCAGTGTTACTACAGGAGGAAACCTAAGCTAAACTAACTTTATTTATACTGGATAGCTGATCATAGTTCTATCAGTTCTAAACTGTTCTCGCTAGAGATCCAGTAAGGGTCATCTCTTATTGACCAAGTATGACTACAGGAGGAAACTAAACTAAACTAAACTAAACTAAACTAAACTAAACTAAACTAAACTAAACTAAACTAAACTAAACTAAACTAAACTAAACTAACTTGATATACACTGGATAGCTTTAACAGTTCTAAACTGTTGAAATACAACATTACCTGTGAATCTACTCTCGTCATCTCTTTCAACACTTTTCTTTACGCTTTTCCTGCGTGAGTGAGAAAGTTGTTTTTGGCGTTTGCTGTTTCGAATTCTTGCGAGAGTCATGAGGATTCCAATGGCGACTGCAAATGAAGACAAAATATAATAAGCTTGCTTTACCCAAGTGATATATTGATTGTAGTTATTGACCACCAAATACAAGACTACTACCCACAGTGAAAAGAATTACACAGTAACATTATGCTGAATCCTTAACCACTTGATGACGCAGTCCAGTGATTTATAAAGATCTCATATAGTGAAACCATTCAAATTCATTTCAATGGTTATATTTCACAGTCTCACTCCAGTGTCTCTGTGCCAGTGTGTTATATAATATAAAGCCCAGTCATAAACAAAAAAACGTGCAAGTTTTAAATTTTTGCTCAATTTCTTTCTTAATTGTATTTGATCGAATTTTTTGTGTGTTAATTTTGCAGTTGTTCATGGCTCAGGAATATTAACATTTGGGAGAAGTAGGAGTTTTGTTTACAAGAAAACATAGATAAAATGGTAAGATATTGTTTAATTGGTGTTTAATCATACAATCATTGTTTATTACTTGCTTGGACTTTGTGCACCCAGCTGGCAAAACTAGTTTTGAACAAATAGTTTTGAACAATTTAAGTACACAACTTTGTGCATTGTATTCGGATTTATTTTTATATTATATTTACTACTGTAGGCACTTTATATGATTTCGGACTGCGGAAGAACTAGGCGTAGTTGTCGAAAGTTCCGACTGTTATTTATGTTGTTTTTGAACATGAATAATTAACACGATGAAAATTTGCATTGAACTTTGTGGGAAAACACAAATATATAAAAGTTATGGGAGTATTAGTGGTTGAATAATATGAGGGGCGGATCTGGCTTCATTTGTTAGTGGGTGTGGAGGTTTTCCAGAGGTGGGGTGCTTTACTATCCATGGTGAGAATGGTTTTTCATGGGGGGGGGGGGTTGAATTACTACGGGTAAGAATGGTTTTGCAGAGCGGAGTGGTGGGCTGGGGGAGGGTGGTGTTCTGCTTAACACTCTCCAATGACAATAACTTGTCAGCAACACATTAAAACCCCACCTATTTTTCAGAGGGAGGGGGTGCATTACCATGCGAGAGAAAATATTTGAAATTTGAAGCCCTGAAATGCCCTTTCCTGCATTCTGAGCACTACATTTATTTGTTATATTTGTCCTCACGATAACTTGTATTTGAGGCAAAAATTAATAGATAAATACCTCACTATATGGTGACCTGCCGTATTGGTACTTGAATATTTTCTTGCTTACTCGAAAATCAATCCTTTCAATATAATAAGGAGTATTCGATCAAACTCAAAAAGCTGGAAATCTAAACTTAATATGGAATGCCAGAGTTTTCTTCAAGGGGTGCTGGACACCACTAGGGGTTTGCTGTGCACCCCCACCCCAGGAGGTCTACCTCTGAATAATATTGCAACGATCATCAATGTTGTTTATTGTTAAAATGTGTACCTGATTAAGACGTTTTATAAGAATAATTTCACTTACTGAAGGGCAACAAACCAACCAGGAGAAATGTCATTACAAAAGGGATTTCACTTCCACTGAAATAATCGTACGAATACGTCTTTGGTGGTACTTTGCACTCCTTTGCAAATGTTGACTTCGTTACTAGGCATTTGGCTACAAAAATTAATGCAATACCTTATTAGCAAAGGCGGGGGTTCTGGGGGTAGTGGGTGGTTGGGGGTGGACTGCTACACTCCCCCCAATGACAATAATTTGTCAGCAAAACATTGAAACCACACCTACTTTGTTAGCAGGGCTGTTGTGAAGAATGCTTGCATGGGGGTTATATTGCATTTGGACGACAAAAAAGGGCGTGGTCAAGTACTGGCGTGTTCGGTCTCTGTTCGTGAGAGGGAGGTTACCCTCAAAATCTGGCGGCCATCGTTATAAAGGGGGATTTACTTATACCCACGATATTTTATTTTCCAACAACTTGTAACTTTTATCTTCACATCTTTTTTTCCTTTTCTTACCATTTGTGACAAAAAACACATCATCTTGTAGTTTATCGCCTCTGATCTTTGTGACGTTCATAATAACAT